TATCTCTTTCTCTCTCTCCATTTCACTTCCTTTGTCTCTCTCGCTCTCTCTTTCTCTCTCTGTAGGTGGGCAAGGATTACGACAAACAGTCGAAATCTACTCTCTGCAGCAATGACTTATACAGGAGCAAGCAAACCCTCTCACTCAGCCCTGATCTATCCACCAATCCCTCGAATAGCCCCTGCAAGTAGCCACTCTCTGATATAACACCCCCGTCCCTTATGCTGTCCCACCACTTTCCCATTGATGCCCTGCACTGCCCTCCCCCTCTCATCTCTACATGGCCAGGGCTCAGACTTCCTTTCACTGAGCAGTTCATCATCTGCCATGTCACTGTGTGTCTGGAGCCATCTGTAGGCATTCTGGGTACAGGAGACAGACTTTCCTCTCTCCAGGATGTCAGTGAACCAGAGGAGTTTGTATCCCAATCGGCAGGGATATCAGGACACTGTTCAATAGTCAGATTTCTTCATTAGTCAGTTTAGGGTTCATACCCACATTCCCAGACATTCCAGGATTCTGGATTCCTGTCCTGCTCACTGCACACAAGGCTGCCATACACATTTCTCTGGGATTGACTCTGCTCAGGGTATATTGTCCCTTTCTCAAAGCACGCACTCTACCTCAGCCGAACTCTTCCAACAAACTCTGTGTGTCTAGCACAGCGGAGGCCACTCTGCCCACTCTAGCCTTTGGCGCGTGAGATGACATAAGAAACACCCAAAAGGTTCACCCCTCTCCCCCTCCAGCTTTCTCCTGAAGTCCCTCTGCACTGTGCCTGGTGATACTGAGACCAAATCTTCAGGCACTGACGCTGGCACTGCCCAGTATCCTGACTCAACTCAATTCTGCAGGAGCTTGAACACAAACACACCCCTGTAACGGACTCCTGGTGTGACCCATACCTGCATGCTTGCACTGAGCAACCCTTCCTATAAATATTACCATGCACTGTCACTCAAAAGGAAATAAAAATACATTGACAAATGACTGCAATGTCAGCCTGTCTCACTTTCAGGAGTGTGTTTGTGTGTGTGTGTGAGTGTCTGTGAGTGTCTGTGTGTGTGATTGTGGGTGTGTGTGTGAGTGTGTGTGAGTGTCTGTGTGTGTGATTGTGGATGTGTGTGTGTGTGATTGTGGGTGTGTGTGTGTGAGTGTGTGTGAGTGTCTGTGTGAGTGTGCGTGAGTGTGGGTGTGTGTGTGTGAGTGTGTGTGAGTGTCTGTGTGTGTGATTGTGGGTGTGTGTATGAGTGTGTGTGAGTGTCTGTGTGTGAGTGTGGGTGTGATTGTGGGTGTGTATGTGTGAGTGTGTGAGAGAGAGAATGTCTGTGTGTGTGTGTGTGTGAGAAAGTGTGAGTGTGGGTATGTAGGTGTGTGTGAGTGAGTGTGTGAATGTGTGTGTGTTTGAGTGTGTGTGAGTGTGTGTGTGTGTGTGTGTGTGTGTGATTGTGGGTGTGCGTGTGAGTGTGTGTGTGTGAGTGTGAGTGTGTGAGAGAGAGAATGTCTGTGCATGTGTGTGTGAGAAAGAGTGTGTGTGTGTGAGTGAGTGTGTGAGAGAGAGACCGTGAGAGTGTCTGTATGTGTGAGAGAGAGTGTGTGAAAGAATGGAGAGTGTGTGCGTGTGAGAGAGAGAGTGTGTGAGTGTGAGTGAGTGTATGTGTGTGAGTGAGTGTGTGTATGAGTGAGAAAGTGTGTGTGTGAGTGTGAATATGTGTGTGTGATGAGAGCCTGTCTGCGAAGGAACACTCTTCCCATAAGGACATGTGGAAATTGTTACGATGTGAGTTTTCTTGCAGCAGACTTTGAGCCACTGAGATGTAATTTCTGAGCCACATTGTTCTTGACTTGTGTTAAAACACAGCTTGGTGTTGTTCCATTCAGGGCAGATATAAAATAGGACTTTACATATTCCTTGGTCCACATGCTCCAGTGGTCTGTCAGGATAAGCTGGGGAGCTGTGAAGGTCACAGCTGGAGGAAGCACCCGTGCACTGCAGGTCAAAACAAGCAGAAACTCTCGCTCCGAGCACTGGAAGCCAGTCAGCTGGAATAGGGAGCAGGATAATGGAATGTCAGCTCACCGATAAAGCCGGAAATTTTGAAATTGTTTGCTCGCTCAGTAACATCAATGCTTCCTGTTTCCTGTAAATGAACAGGAGCCTAGTCTCACTCTGAATGCTTCGCACTAAGCCCAGTACGGTCTGTCTTTCATCTCATCTCTGTCATTTCAATTCTGTGCGGAAATGTTTTATCACCTTTGCTTGCATATCCTCACAAATAAATCACCTATTTTGTTCACTCGATAAAGCCTGCTGAAGTTCATTTCCTTTCAAACAGAAGTTCATTTGGTCTGGGAAAATGCATGTCCCAGGGAGCAGGACTATTTTAAAATGAACCGTGTTCGATCCATTGCAGACTCAGGTGAATAAAGGAAGGGTCCTGTCACCGTCTCCGCATCAGGGAGGGTAATGCTTCGGCGATTCAGCCTGGTAGTGGAATATCTTCAATCACACCATCTCTAACAAGAGACAATATATCCACTACCCCTTGTCATTCAATAGTGTTACGATCACTTAATCCCCCACTATCCACATCCTGGGGAGTTACCATTGACCAGAAACTCAACTGGACCCACCACATGAACACAGCGGCTACAAGAGCAGGTCAGAGGTTGAGAATCCTGCAGCGAGTAACTCCCGTCCTGTCTCCCCCCAAAGCCTGTCCCACCATCTACAAGGTACAAGGCAGGAGGGTGATGGAATACTCCCCACTTGCCCCTGGATGGGGGCAGCTCCAACATCACTCAAGTAGCTCGACACCATCCAGGACCAAGCAGCCCCCGCTCGATTGGAACCACATCCACAAACATCCCACTCCCTCCCCACACTGACGCTCAGTCGCAGCAGTGTGTACCATCTACAAGATGCTCTGCAGAAATTCACCAAAGATCCTCAGGCAGCACCTTCCAAACCCACGACCCACTTCCATCTAGAAGGACAAGGGCAGCAGATACATGGGAACACCACCCCCTGCAAGTTCCCCTCCGAGCCACTCCCCATCCTGACTCGGAAATATATCCCTGTTCCTTCAGTGTCACTGGGTCAGAATCCTGGAATTCCCCCTGTACCAGGCTGGGGCATGTGAAACTGTGAATCTATCCTCCCGATGGGATGATGATGATTCTGGCTGGAATGAGAGCAGAATGCATTCCCAATATTTCGGCAGCCTCTTCACTGTCACTAGATTGGGGTTTGTCTTTGGTCTGAGCTCAGAAAGGTCAGGCTGGTGTGTGTCTCTGTGCTCAGTGGCTGTAAGAGTGAGGCAGTGACGGACAGATGGAGCTACATGGGACTCTCCGAGAGCTGTCCCAGACAGGAAATGGGCTTCTTGTGGTCTCTAACCAGCAGC